TGCTTGCATCAGGTTTGCTAATGCCACAGTGACCAAGGATGGCACAAAGGCATGGCTCCTTGGGGGCCCTTGGTGGAAGATTCTGACTCGGTTTGCTCTTTTGAGAACCTTCGTATCATGTTCTAAGACTCCCAAAGCTAAAACTTGCAGAGGGCTAGGTAATCTTAGTCTCACACTCTATGAGGCAGAGTCAAGAGCTGGTGAAATCTTTATAATTTTTATTAATATGAGCCCATTTATAGCTGTAGACAAGTAAGGCTCAGGAAAATTCAAATTAGTTGACCTTGAATGAATTCCTTAATCTCTGAGGCTGTTTGCCACTTGTGACACTCACTTCGTAGGGTTATGGTAAGGCTCACCTCCTCTTGGGGCCTTTTGAAGATGTATAAAACCCCACATACATGTGAGTGCCAGGGTATGCTGCAGTTCTGAGGAATCTTAATCCTGGTACACAGGAAAAGTGCAGATAAACAATGAGAAAAGAACCTAATGACCGGGCTCTTTGATTTAAAAGAAGTTCCGTGAGAAGATGCTTTGATCCCAGACACATGGTTAGTCCGTCTCTGTCTTTCCCCCAAGATCAACAGGGAAAACAGATTTTTGTGTTTATTTCATGCATCTGCTTTCCCTTTTTTCTCCATCCTACACTGCTCTTCCATCTCCAGTGCAACTTGTTCTCTCCTGCCTCTAAGAGTGGCAATCCAGCTCTCAAGACGTCTCCTCCAGAAAGTGTTTGATTGATCACACCCAAGTGGATCCCTGCTCACCCATCCATCAAATGTTACCGAGCCCTTTTTATGTCTATCTCGGTGCTAGGAGCTGGTGATGAAAAAGATGAATGAGGCACAGTTTTTTTTATCCCCTAGGAGCTCACAGACTAGCAATGAGATAGATGCATAAGCAGAAAATAGTGCTATTATTGTGTGCTGTGAAAGAAAAATGTGCATTTATTCAACAAACATTTTATGGTTGTTTCTTCTGTGCGTGCCTTACGCTGCTGTGATAAGCCTCCTTTTCTATTTTTAAGATGTGTCTAATGAAGGAGACAGATAAGTCAACAGCCACAAGTTAGGAACACAGAGTTGGCACCAGGTGCACATGCGAGCCTAGAGCCTGCACCTGCCAGATGGAAGTGGTTGGGAAAAGTTTCCCATAGATTTTATATAAAGCAAGAAAAAGGCAACGATGGATTCCAGGCACAGAGAGCAACACTGATAAAGGCAGAGTGGCGTGGGGACAGCATGAGGGGCTTTTGGAGAAATTGAACGCCACTCAACATGGCTGCTTCCCAGAGTGCTCATGAGGCATCCGTACAGGGAAAACTGGGAGAGGTAGACAGAAGCCAGAATGCAGGTCCTGGAGAACCATTGAGCATTTAAAGCAGAACATGGCCTCATCAGATTCGCCTGTTAGAAAGACCACTCAGCAGAAGCAGGTGCATTGGTACACAGAGGGGCAGGCCAGGGGCAGGACAATGAAACTAGACACTATTAAACAACTCAACACAAACAGGAAATGCTGAGGGATTGAAGTTAGGCAATTAGAGGATGGATTTGGGCTCAACTGTGTCAATCTCCAAAATTCCTGTTTGAAGTTCCTAACCCTCCATATCTCAGAATGTGACTGTTTGGACATGAGGCCTTTAAGGAGTAATTGAGTTAAAATGAGGTAATGAGGGTAGACCCTACTCCAATGGGACCACAGTCCCTGTAAGAAGACGAGTTTAGGACACGCACATAGAGGGGAGACTATGCGGAGACACAGAAAGGGCAGCTGTCTATGGGCCAAGGGGCCTCGGGAGAACCCAAGCCTGCAGACATCTAGGTCTCAGATGGGTAGACTCCAGAAATGTGTGAAAATCAATCTCTGCTCTTTAAGCCACCCAATCTACGGTACCTTGCGATGGGAATCCCAGCAGCTCACACAGAGGATCAGGAGATGGGAGAGCCCAGGAGGGGAGGAGAAGGCAGAGGAAGGAGACTGAGGTTTCTGGCCTGTGTGACCCAGCAGGAGTTCTAGGAGCTGCAGCCAGCAGGAGCAGCAGGGTTAGAGAAGGCGGATGATGCGCTCCGGTTCTCTGGTCCCCGTAGGACAGCTGAGTCAAGCTGCTCGCTACGCATCTGGTGGCAGGGCTCAAGTTCATTCAAGAGACAGGCACTGGGGACACAGATGTTGGGATCTCCAGACACTGGGGCAGTAGAAGCAGAGTGGTGCATGAGGCCTCCAGGAGACGCATGCGCTATAAGAGAAGGGAAAGGACAGAACCATAGAGAAGCCATCCCCTAGGGGAGAGACAAAGGGGGAGGCCTGGGTGCAAAACAGAGTGAGAGGCGCTGGTTCGAGGGGCTCAGATAAGAATGAGGGCCAAGAGAACGGCTCGAGGCGTTCATGCTTGTAAGACTCTCTCCATGCACACACACACAGGCTTCATCGGTTGTTTGCAATGACATCCCCATTATTTCATGTGCACAACTCTTTATTTATTTATTTATTTACTTACTTATTTAACTTGAAAGTCTGGGCCAGGCTGAAGCCAGGAGCCAGGAGCTTCTTCCAGGTCTCCCATGTGAGTGCTGGGGCCCGAGCACTTGGGCCATCCTTCACTGCTTTCCCAGGTGCATTAGCAAGGAGCTGGATATAAAGAGGAGCAGCCAGGACTTGAACTGGTACCCATATGGGATGCCAGCTTGGCACGTGGCTTTACCTGCTATGCCACAATGCCAGCCCCTACATGTATGACCTTTCAGGTTTTGGATTCAGAATCAGGGTAACACCTGTTTGCTTCTCCAGACACAGCAAATGCTTTTCAGCTCTTCGTCCCTGCCAGATAAGCACACCCCTTCAGCCTCTTCCTGACAAAAGCTGCCCGTTGTTGTGGGGTTAAGGCCATGGGCATTCAGCCTAGCAGCTGATGCCTGGTGAGACACCTTGGTTCTATATTATGGCAACCTGGGCTTCATATCCGGTTCTGGTTCTGGCTCCCAATTCCAGCTTCCTGCCAATGTGCACCCTGGCAGGCAGAGGTAACAGCTCACATGGTTAGGTTCCTGCCACACAGGCGGGAGACCTGGATTGAGTCCCTTGCTCCTGGGTTTGGCTCAGCCCAATTCTGGTCATTGTGCACACCTGGGGAGTAAACTGGCAGATGGGAGCTCTCTGTGTGTATCTCTCTGACTTCCAATTTCTAAAAATGAACCAACAACAACAACAACAACAAAAAAAAAAAAACCAGAAGTTGCTCATTGGTCACTCAGGACCTTCCAGCCGGATTGGCTGTTTTTTTTTCCTCCAGGACCTTCTCCGAACCTTCTCCTGCCAACAGTGGCTGGCTGGGGAGAGAGTCTCCAAGGTTCTGCTCCGCCGTCAGGGCAGAGCTGCTCTTTCCAAGGCTCATTGCCGGCTTGGGCAGAATGCCTGTGCCCTGAGCCAGAATGTGCAGGGAATATGGAAGCCATGACTCCCGCTGCCCTCAGCTGCCCCCGACTGGGAAGGGTCCAGCCAGCACCAGAGTGCCTCTGAGGTCCCGGGATGTCACCTGCTACTCTGGAGGAAAGGAAGGCATGAGGACCACCTCTCCTGGACTCCTCACTCCACCCAGTAAGAGTTGCCTAGAAGAAGGCAAAGCGCTTTTCCCAAAGCCACAAGATTTTCTAGGGGGCCAGGATTTGAACCTGGCTCTGTTGGACTCTGGACATCTCCCCACCATGAACTTGCCCTCTCTGCCCCTGCCTTCTCCCCACCTCCACCCTCCACCTGGACTCCGCACTTGCTCCAACAACCCCGGCACCAGCCCTGGAATGATTCCGCTGAGGGCCTGGAGCACCCTTGCTTTCAACACGCAGGCAGCAGTAGCCAGCAAGCCTGACAACCAGATCGGAATGGTTCACATCCGGTGCTCCTCAGGCGTGTGGAGGAAACACTCTGAAGAAGGAAAGCTTTGTGTTTGGGTAGCACCAGATGGGGCAGGTGTCATGGAACAGCGGATGAAGCCACAGCTTGGGATGCCCACATCTGTAGCTGAAGTGCCGGCTCACTTCCAACCCAGCTTCCAGCTAATGCATACTCGGGGAGGCAGCAGGTGAGGGCTTAAGTTCCTGGGCTCCTGCCATTCATGTGGGAAACCGGGAAGGAATTCCAGGCGCCTGGTTTTGTCTTAGCACAGCCCCGGATGCTGCGGGGATTTGGAATGTGAACTGATGGATGAAAGATCTCTCTCTCTCTCTCTCTCTCTCTCTCTCCCCTTTCCTGTCTCTCTCTGTGTGTCGCTCTGTCTTTCAAATAAATAAATATTTTTTTGAGAAAAAACATCCAGTCTGGCTGGAAACCCGAATGCTGTATCTGAAACATCAGAGATCAATTTTACTAACTCAATCACCTTTAGCCAAGAGCTTTTATGTTATGCAAATTCTGTGTATTTTTTTTTTTGAGTCTTAAAAAGCAAATAAACAAATAAAAACAAAACAAAAAAAACCCAGTGAGGTGAGAAGGGCAGGTCCTCTCTCTAGAACAGATTTGCCCACCCAGTCAGGCAGTCCCAGAGACCCCAGGAGAACTCGGTGTTGAGTCAAACACTCAGCACTCTTGTCGTCGTAGTGAGGGCCCTTCTGAGGTTCGCCAGCGCGAATCGCCTCCACAGGAGATCCTGCAGGGGCGACCCAGCTCTGTCTGAGTGTCAGCTGCCAGCAAGGGTGGGGACCCCCAGCCCCCCAAGGCACCGCAGCTCTGGCACTTTGAGCAGTCCCAGTCCTTGTCTTATTTGGAGATTTAATCTCCCTCCCTAGCGCTCCTTCCCCGGTCCAGAGGAAAAACCCTGTGCTCAATACAAGCCCTGCAGCGAGGGCCTGGGAAGCATCCTCCTGCCAGGTCAGGGCTTGGCAGGGCAGCTCTGACCCTGGGCTTCCCAGCCCGTGGGGAGCAGGCGGCCACCATGCCTGCAGGCAGCTCCGCACAGCAGGGCTGCTTCCTCATACCTGAGCTGTCCCCAGCTGTGTGCACCCCTCCCAGCCTTTGTGCGCTATTTAAGGTCAGCACCAGGAGCCGACTGTGAGTCACAGCACCCAGAAGGGCAGCAGCGGCTCCACACACCCCAGCACCCAGCCGCCATGGCTTCCCTGGGGCAGATCATCTTCTGGAGGTAATGTTCTCGCCACTCTCCTCACAGGTGGAGGGCACGGGGCTGAGGTCTCTTGGAGTGTTGCGCATGGCCGGGCTGTCTGATGGGTAGAGCCCCACCTGTGCCCTTATCTGATCTAACATGGGGCTGGCAGGAGCTGGGCCAGACAAGAGCCTAAGCAGACAAGACAGAGCGCCACACCCCAACCACTCAGGGCACCTGGTCAGGGCTAAGAAGGGTTTTGGTTGGTGACCTGCCCTGGAGGACTGGCACCTGCTGGGGCATCTCTGGGCTGAGGGGAGTGTGTGCCAGGCTGGGGGGTTCTGCTGAGATGTCAAAACTCTGAGCAATGTGTGGGCACTGGGCAGGAGGCCTGGGGACATTTGATGGGATGGAAGGGAACCGGTGTTTGTGACTGGGGGTATAGGAGGCCCCTCTATACAGCCAGGAGGTGGAGGAGGTGAGGTGCTTTGTTCCCGCTCTATGGGTGTGAGTTCTCAACACCACTGAGCGTTTCCTTCTAGCCCCCTGCGGCAGGATGGGGCCCTAGTCCTCCTGGAACGCCCTGGAGAAGAGACCCTTGCCGCTGCCACTGCTGCCACTTAGCCCCCCCAGAAACCGGCAAGAGGCCAGTGCACTCTCTGCCTCCGCGTCCCTCTGCTCCGTCCTCGCGGCCTCTCTTTCCCTCCCACAGCATGTTCCTTGCTGGAGGCAGTGAGATGGAAACATGAAGGGGTTTCTGGAAGGTGATTCGGCGCTCAGGAGGGCGGGTGCTTGTGAGCTCCCAGGGTTGATGGAAGGAGCAATCTCCAAATGGTCGGGTCTTCTCCAGCGGAAGGGAGAAGAGCCCGGGAAGAGGGAGGAAAGAAAACCTCAGGTTAACAGGGAAAAGTTGCGAGGAGGCTGAGAGAACGCTACTTCCCAGAGGCAGCCGAGAACATTCTCTTCCTTGACGTAAAACATCTCCCGTGGGCGGCGGGGCCTCCTGGGGTCCGCAGCAGGGGCTGGGGCGGCACCGCCTCCCTCGGCTCCCTCAGACCCTGGGGCGGCAGCAGGTGGCAGCCTTCTGCCCTGACCCTGTCCCCACAGAGCACCCGGGGCAGAGAAGCTAGCGTTCCTGAGCGCCTCTCTCCCTGCCCTACAGCAAGAGCTGAAAGCGCTCCATTCAAGCTCACTGCTGCCTGGTGCGGGTTCCTCAGCGCCTCAGAATTTAAGCCACTTGCTCAAGGCCACCTGACTGTGCGTAAGGGTAGGGCAGCTTGGAACCTCTCGGCCACTGAAGCCCCAGGCTCTCCCCACGGAGCCGTGCTTACCCTCGCTGCCACCTCTACCACCGCCCTCCCGCCCCCTCACAATCCGTCAGCTCGGGTCCCACGGATGTGAAACACGCAGCAAGTGGCTGTGTTGTCCCAAGGATGGGCGGGCGTGTGGGCTTTCTAATAATACATTACGACCAGCCCGACTGGTTTTGCCGGAGGATTAGCAGAAGGTGGGTGTTCCAACTGCGTAGCCCCCACCCTTGAGAGACCCACTGGAGTCAACAGAGGCTCCTCTTGTTGGCCCCAGCGTGCCTCATTAGCTATTCGCGCTCCGGGGTTGCGCAAGTGGTGGCAAGCCACAAGGCTGGCGGGGCGCTTGTGCACAAGGGCCCCCAGGAAGAAGGCCAACAAGCAGCGTCCGTGGGAGGCAGGATCTGGAAAGCGTGTCCCAGGGATGTGGATGGCGGTCGTGCAGGGAACCGAGTGGGCACAGGCGACGGAGATGCTGACCAGCGTTTAGCCTGGGGAATGGGGGGGAAGATTCTCAAGTAATCCCAATTGGCCGTTCGTAAGTCAGGAGACACTAGGCACAGGGAGCACTTCTCAAGGAAGGCTTCCTGAGCGTGACTGAAGGAGGTGGTGTGATCTGAACGGAGGAGAGGGAACCCAACGAGATACAGCTGAGCACACAGCACGGTGTGCTGGAAACACTGTAAGGTGCTCTGTGTTCTCACCAGGGCATGAGGCTCCAGTGACGGGAGGTGGGACTGGGGGGGTGACAGCAGCACAAGCCGGGCCTTATGTACACACTCGGCACTCAGAATTTATCGTTGGCGATGAACAGCCCTTGAAGACTCTCCAACAGGCTTTCATCCGCTGCTTCACTCCCCAAATGCCCACAGCAGCCGGCGCTGGCACAGGCTGAAGCCAGGAGGCCGAGACTGCTTCCGGGTTCTCCCACATGGGTGGCAGGGGCTCAAGTACCTGAGCCATCATCCACTGCCTCCCAGGCACATTAGTAGGGAGCTGGATCGCAGGCACCAAGTAGCCAGGACTCGACCTAGGCACCCCAGTATGGAAGTCCCAGGAGGTGGTTGAACTTACGGTGCTACAACACCCACCTCCGAATTTCTCCACATTCTTGTTTTGGAAAATAGAATCAAGTCTACCCCACCGTTGAGCCACAATCCTTCTCTGCACCTTAGGATGTGCTGGGATGTAGACTCTACATTAAGTGCCAGACCCTGCAAGCATTGAGCATTAAAAGGTGGTAGCAAAGAGCTTCAGGGTGGGTGAGGTGAGCCTGGGAGGGCTCCCTGATGAGCCACTGCTAACACCAGGAGCAACAACCTCCAAGGGATGTTGGAGCTGTGAAAGGACTTGTTAATGGTTAAATAGCCAGACTCCCTCACACTCCTAATTATCCCCATTTCATAGATGCAAATGTTGAGGCAAGAGGCCCTTCTCAATGTCTCCCAGTCAACAAGTGGCAGAAATAAGCAAGTTACTACCCAGCCCTCTATACTAGTTGTATTAGAAAACTTTATTTCTAGTCAGTTCTGCGCCACCTCCTGCAATTTAAACTGGAGTGCAACTCATCACTGGCAAAAACTCACTTCCTCACTGACCACTGATGCCCCAGCAACAGGATTCTTAGGTGGCCAGGAGGGAACTGCTTGTCCCTAGAGCAGGCTGGCACCTGGGGGCTGTTGGTCTGTGTTGTCTCCGGAGCTGCTCCAGACGAACGTGTGCAGGAATAAGAAGTGACAGAAGCTCCGTGAAAAGCATACTCTCACAGAGCTTGAAACTGCAGCAAGTCTGTGCACCGCCTCACTTTATCCATGGGATAATCCAGACCATGGGTGACACTCCCCCAGGCGGCGTGCGTGCTGCGAAAGAATGGCAGGGCGGGGCTGGTGTTGCGGCACATGGGTTACGTCGACGCCAGAAACACCAGCAACCCATCTTAGAGCACCTGAGTCCTGGCTGCCTTGCTTCTGATCCAGCACCCTGCTGCTACACACAGGAAAGCGGCAGATGATAGCTCAAGTGCCTGGGCTTCTGCTACCCGTGGCAGAGACCCCGATGGAGCCATGTACTGCCATTTGAGGAGTGAACAAGCAGGCGGAAGATCTCTCTCTCTTCCTCTCCCTGCTTTCTTTGTGTCACTTTGCTTTTCAAATAAGATCCATCTTTAAAAATAAATAAATAGTAAGAAAAGGCTTTTTCAATGATCCTAATTTTCCTAGTCACCTTAGTTAAAAAACTGTGCCACAATCCAAAAGATCATTTTTTACCCCCAGCACCAAAGATTGGAAAATCTGAGAGTTTAAAGTTTCATCCATGCTTCCCTTTGACGTATGAGGAAGTGGAAATACTGTGGATTCTGTCATTGGTCTGATCTGTGTACAGATTCCATCTCTCCACTTCCTAGCTGGTGACCTCAAGCAAGTTACTTAACCTCTCTGTGTCTTCAGTTCCTCATCAGTCAATTGGATGCTAATAGAAGCACCTTGCTCCTAGGATGATTGGAAAGACTGGGTTAATGCATGTAAAGAGTCCAGAGCAGTGTCTTGCACACAGCTAGTTCTTTATGTGTTAATTACACTAATTAACACTGTTTCCAGGTAACAAACTGACTTGGAAAGGTGACTGGGGGTTGGGGGGGGTTGGCAAACTCAGAAAGAGCAGCTAGGGTTAGTTTGTCCAGGATATTTGGGGATTCCAGTCCTTGCTCTGCCACCTGAGGTCCCCAGTGTGCCCTCCTTGCCAGCAGGACCAGGGAACTGTCAGCCAGGCTGATTTTTTCTCCAGACCCATGAGAAACGCTGGGGGTGGCCTGGGATCCAGACTTTCTAAGCCCAGCAGGGGATCTGGGTGCACGGCCAAAGCACTCACTGGACGCCTTGATTGTTGAGGGAAAGTGTGAGGGTTGAAGCCAGGGGGCTGTAAATCTCTCCTGGGATCCTCTGTCCCTCCACTTTCCTCCTTAGGAGATCAGTAGATGGGTCTTGATGAAAATGAAGAGAAAAACAAAGTTTTCCCGGGTGAGAAGCCCGGGTTATGTTTCTCATTCTCTAGTTGTCCAAAGTCCCAAACCATGCGCCCGAGAATCTCAGATTTACTGCCCCATCACTCCTAATGATCCCTCCATTCCCAGCACAGCAGTAACCACAGGAGGGGAAGTTTTCCTTCTTTCTTTCTCTGCAGATTTAGAAGGGAAAACTGCATAGAATAAAAACCTTGAAACATTCCGCAGAGAGCAGCCATAAAGCCTCTTGCACTTTGTTCACACTCTGCGCTCAGAACAGCTATGGCACAGCCCGCTTCTCTTCACCCCACATTCCTTCTCCCCACCCCAGTCTCAGGTGGGTGCCTTGCCTTGTCCTGCACTGAGAAACCAGAAGTGAGCAATGGGGGGGCTTCTCCATCCTTCACTTCCCAAACTGTTCCAGCTTGGCTCCTGACCAGGCTTGGTGCAGGTTCTTGTCTGCAAGGTGGACAAAGGCGAGCAGCAAAACGAGATTTATTTAAAGCAAAAGCAACACACTCAAGGGATGAGCATTGGCAGGCTCCAGGGAGAATAAGCCACCCTTAACAAGGTTTAGAGCTGTCCTTTTATACTACTGGGAGAGACACAGGGGTGGTGTCTGGGGTGGGGCTTAATTGAATATCTAAAGGAGGTGGAATCTGGGATGTGCCTTGAGTACTGCCCATTTTCATACACATTTTTGGAAATCCCAGAAGTGTCGTGGTGTCAGA